AGACAAATGGTTGTCCAGTCTCTTCTTAAAAACTTCCAGTGTTGGGGCATTCACAACTTCTGGAGGCAGGTCGTTCCACTGATTAATTGTTCTAACTGTCAGGAAATTTCTTCTGCGTTCTAGGTTGCTTCTCTCCTTGATTAGTTTGGCATGATCTTTGCTATAGTAGAAAGACTGTATTCAATTTATTCTTGCTCTGCCCTACCAGTGCCCCTATAATCCAACTGAAAATGAGTGCTAGGATTCAAACAAGAAAAATATGTGGTCTTCCTGTAGGAGGCTTGCTGCTGGCATCTGGCCACCAGATGTTGGCTTAGTTGAATCTTGGTTTTTATCATAGCAGTATAAGGGTTTGTCCCCTGAGGGAAGATAGCAGATTGTTCTGCTTGCTGAATGGGAAACAACAAACCACTTGTAGACATTTTTTCTTAAAAAAATCCAAATTACATTTATTGATGCAAGTTTTCTCATTGGAAACCTTAAAAATTCAATGACTTCCTCCAAAAATGGTATTTTATTTACACAGAATAACAATGAAAAAAAAAGCCCAAGCTGATGCTGTAATTCCTTTGGATCTGGATTGAGGCAGCAAATTTGCCTTCTTTCCCATTCTTTAAATTTGTGCAGAAGTTTGACCCCAAAACCAGAAAAAAAGGAGCAGAGTCAAACATTTCTCCCCAATATACTTTTTACAATTGCACAAAAGCTGTGAAACCCCAACACTTCAAAAGTGTTAAGAAGTTATGAATATGAATTTGATTCCTCATTTTTTTCCAGCCACAAATTAATTTGCTTCTGTTTCTGCGTCACTTGTAACTTTAGAACAATTACATTTTGGATGTAAAAATTTCCCCTAACTTTTTGCGTATCATTTTTCCTTACGTACATTTTTTGTAGTTGCTTTTCCTTGCAGTTTGGAGAAAAAGCTATATTACAAAATTCTTGAGATGCAGAAATAACCGCCCCCCCTAAATTTTTCTCTCCGCCTATAAATTTGAGATATGAATTTGATTAAGATACCAATTGTGGACATTTATCCCCCAGACACAGATCCAAGTTAAGTTGAGGAGGAAATTTTGTACCAAATGGGAATATATATACAATCCAAATCCCCAAATCTTTACATATAATTCAGTTGCTATTAAAAGATCACACACATCCCAGAGGTATGGAAGTGCTAGGTGTAAACATGGTTTTGGAAGTTACAGAATGACTAGGCAGAAATGAGAACACGATCAGAAAGAGCCCTCCCTGCCTTCTCGCTAAAATCCCTAGGGAGGAAAGAATAGGATAATAAGAGCCCGTTTTTATATAAATTGTTGAAAAAAATAAGATTCTGCCTTTTGCATTGCTATTATGGAATGTACCTGTTTCTCCTAAGGGTGGTGGCAACAGAAACAGCACTTACATGAGTTCTTAAGTTTCTGAAATGATGGTGGTGGGTGGGTGGGAGAGTGAGTCAGTATCCTATTCCAGTTACGCTAGAACGATGGGATGCGAGCTGCATCCAAGGAGAGCTGGGTAGAAAGGTTGCAATCAGCTAGAAATTGTTCCTACATATATAGGTTGTGTCTTTGTGCCTACCTCAATTCAGCTGCTGAAACAGTAGGCTTGTGGGAAGAGGGGATCTTCCTAAAATAGTAATGGCCTCAGAGAGGTAAACCCATTCTAAATCTGGCTCTCTCATACTTGGATCCCCGTGGCCAGAGCTGTTCTCATGTACATGAAGCAAGCAAGCTTAGTGCCTACTTTTTTTTATAGTGTATAGCACTAGCCTATGTAAGAGGAACAAGGGCTGGTGGGCTATAAAAAAAACAGATGATGAAGAATGGTATTTGAAAGAGCTGATGGAAAAATCCAGAACTAGCGTTCTCTTTTCAGAAAATCTAGCAGATCTAAAGCAGGGAATGCACAATCTGCAACTTCACTAAAAGCCCCTGTAAAAGCTGTCCCTTAATTTTAATTGTTAATGTGCTAATGGAGAGGGACATGGAAAGCCCCAATATATTGTCTTCAGTTCATTTGAATCAAAGGTAAATTAAGGTGAAATAGCTTTTGTTCTCACTTTTGTATGTGACCTCTTCCAGCATGTCTCTCAGATTTCAAGTCCAGCCCAAGATCTATGCTGATTATTTTAGTGGATAATAATACAGGCATCCATGCCTAATCACACCTAATCACAATACCAAAATATATAGGAACATCAAATACTGGGAGGCAGAATTTGTGTTGCAGGAGTGTTGTTCAAGCATGTTCTTCACTTTCTCCCTTTGAATGCCTATGAATTGCAATGATCACTCATATCTAACCAAGCAACCCAGAATGACTCAGTTCTTTTTTTTTTTTTTTTTGCTGATCCCAAAGCCGAGATCTAACATCCCAATATTTTCTGGAAAAGTTAGGCTCAGGCATCTCAGCTTGCAGAGATGATAGGGATGACAATAATAAAAATAGTGTATTGTTCAGTCTGGTTCTTGATGCCACGTTTTAAGAATGGAAACAAACTTGAGTGAGTTCAATAAAATAGGGGAAAGGACAGTTGGGCCAGGAACTGTAGGGTGCGATGGAGATGACTTTGGAGAAGACACTGAGTAGCCCACAGAACAACCACAGATGCTGAAGCATGCATTAAGCCCACGTAGGTGGGAAACTATTAGAAAAAGATTCAGACTGGTTCCTCCTGGTATAAGAAGGATTGAAGAGAAAACATGGGCAGACTTGCAAGATTCTGTTACTGTAGCCTATTCAATATAGTTTTAGTCTTCCTGTTTCTTGATCTTGTCTGCTCAGATAGGAATTTTAGTCCTAAGAGAAGAGACTGAAGGAGTTGAGTGTGTTAAGCCTTGAGGGAAAAAAAAACACGGGGGGGGGGGAAGAGAAAATATGATGGCACTCTTGAAGTACCACTGAAAGTCAAGACCTCTGTAGCTTGAATGAATTTTAAGACACAAGAAGCCAAACTCTGGATACATATTTGAGTAAACTTTCGGCTGGAAGAGTTCTCTGATAATCAAGGAGAAGGTGGGCTTCCCTTGCCTTGAGCTCAAAAGCTGTCCAGCTATGGTGGTTGCCTACACCAAACAAGCAAATCACCCATGCTTGGACTGTGATTTGTAACCGCTGGTGGCAGCCCTTTGCCAATAGTGGTTCTTAGAAAAAAGGTAAGTAGATTAGGCCTGCTTAGCACTTGGCTGTGAGGCCTTCAGGACATTCCAGAACTATAGACTAGACCAGGAAGTCAATCCTCCCAGATGGGAAAGGCCAATCACTTTCACACTGTTGCCACTTTCACAATATAAACCTCAAAGGATACCCCTGTTCAAGGGCCAAACCATCTCCCTCCATCCCAGAGGACACACAAAGGTTGTGTTCCTTTGGTAACAGGTATGAGAATAGGCCAAACGATTATATCTCTTCCAATGTACTCTATTCACTGGCACATAAATACAATAGGCTTCCTTGAGTTGATGCCCTTCACAGGTCTTAGCTTTCAGCTCCCAACATCCAAAGTTGCTGGCTATGGGTGGCAGGAATTGTAATAGGAGGTATCTGAAAGCTGACAGAATGGAAGACTGACTTTTGAAGAGACAGTCAAAGGTGTATTTTTATATTTTTACTTGTTAAGTGTTGGGAAGAGATGGAGGTGTAGCCTTTTTTTACAAGTCATTCACAGCGTTTCCCCTTTACCTTCTTAGCTGAAAGGGATGGAAGACAGAACAGGGGAAATCTCTAATGTGCACCTCTGTTGACTGCCATAAAGGTCCCTTACAGCCAAGTTTCTTTGCCATAGGTGTTTAAAACACCCAATATGAGAGAAAAATGAAAAAGGTTAAAAGCATGATGCAGGGAAAAAACAGTAACTGCTATCATAATTTATGTCTTTGCATAGCAACTAGTAGATCAGCTGGTGGCAGCATCTGGCTGACCTTGTCTAGCCTTGGAAGCTGTGCAGATTTTAGTCTGGTTAATACCAGAACGGGAGACCACTAGGCAATCCCAAGGCTGTAGGAAGCTGAAAATACATCCCATAAGAATGCAATGGTAAAATACTTCCATGCTATTGCCAAGAAAACAACATGGAAGTTTCTGTGAAGTCATCAGGAGCCAAGCTCAAATTCACCTGGAGTTCAATTATTAGGGTATCTTTCCCCCCCCCCCAATAGCATCTGGTATCACACAGTCTCTGCCAACTAATATGGGCAGAATCAAGAATACTTCCATGGAAGTCTGTGCAATTAGGAAACAACTTTGCTATTTTTTTCCCTAGCCCAGTGAACATAGGCAGGAAACCCAAAGCTGACTGCACACACGAGACAAGAGAGTCTGCCCACTCCCCCAAAACTTTTGCATTGCCAGCAAAGTCCACACATCTCCAAATTTACTTTTAAATTCAATCAGCTCGTGGCAGTCAACTTTCACCCACCACATCTTCCCCATTTGCCTCCCAAACTCACCAAAATGGGCCTTGTGTCTTCCTCTAGCCCTCCTGCTGAACTTCAAGACTCCGGAAGAGTCTTAACCATGTTTCCTGATGCACATGCCTTTTTTTCCCAACTGTACCACCAGTTTTAAGAACAGAGACCAAAATGAAGCTTTCCAAACAGCACAACTGTTCCTGCTACAATGCAGAATTTAAAAAGTCCAAAGATGCACGGTGGACGACAGTCCCAATGTCCAATGGATCATCATAAACCCCTCAGGGTATGGGATGCTGCAGTCCAGCAGGAGGGGGTGCAGCTCACTGCTTTTCATAACTGTCCACTTGTGCAGCATATCAAACCTTCGGCTGTCCCACTTGATTAGTGACAATTCTCACGTCACTACAGTTTATTGAGTACCAGTTAGAGGGCAGGCGGTGACCTGGGCGGGGATCAAAAGTCCAGACTGGGGGCAGGGGGGCTGAGACTAGCAATCAAGGGAAGCTGTTATTAAATACAGGGGGATTAAGACCCCTGGGGGGCATCAGTCTGGCTCCTCTGGGACTGGGCATCCGGGCCGGGTCACACGCTCATAGTCATGCTGGGCGAATACTGGGGAGACAGATGGGAGACACCACAGCATTAGAGGAAGGGTCCATCATGGAGGGGGGGCACCGGCCCCCTCTTCACACCTCTGACAGCTGCTGCTTCCAGCATGAGATGGCACTGTTAGCTGTTGGTACTGACAGCCCAGTCCGACCCTGCCACAGGGTGCCCCGCCCTCCGCGTGCCCCCCGAGATCCCCGCCCCCTCCGCGGCCGCCGCTCCACGCAGGCCCTTACGCTCTCGCTTTGGAAGGGGTTTATGAAGCTGCTGCTCATCTCACTGCTGCTGTCATCACGTGGGGTGCCCGGTGGGTTAGCTATGCTGGCCATGCTACCCGGGGAATTCTTGGGAATCAGAAATAAAAGAGAGAGAGAGAAAAAAAACCCAGGCAATTCACACCTGAACCATGATTAGAACACATTCTAACATGAACCATGATTAGAACACCCTGTCAGAGAGCTATAGAGAGCATTGTTAAAAAGGCATCACATGGAAAAGGTTGGCTTTTTTTTTTAAGTTTCGGGACCTTATAAAGTTCTTAGATTCTGTCTGCACAATCAGTTTAACTAGGTCAAGGGGAAGTAATGTTGTTGTAGGAATTTCCTCACACAGAAATAAGCTGCTTAATTATAGACAGTCCTCAACATACGAGAGTAATGGAGCCTGCCCAGTATGACAGAATGCCATAATGGTTGCACAACAGGCTAATCACATGACCAAGCCAATTTTACAACCTTTTTTTGTGGTGGTTGATAAACAAATCCTTGGTTAAGTGAATCCTTGGTTGTTAAGCGAACTAAATGATTTGCTATGGCAGCAAAATTGGAAGTGCTAGTTTTGGGCAAAACTGTCATAAAACACAGTCATGTGACCCTAGGATACTGCAAATGACCATAAAGGCAGCCATTTGCAGTATTGCTAAGTGCCCAAAATTCAGTTGGTTCAGGGAGACCCAACCACTGCATCTTCCAGAGTCCCCCAGAGAATAATGGGTTGTCTCTTAATGTAATAAATAAATAAATAAACTTTGAATTTGGATCATAGGTCCTCTTTTTTGGCTTGGTCATAACTTCAAACAGTTGCTAAGTGGCTGGTTGTAAGTCAAGGACTAATTGTGATTCAGATAGAGTTAGAAAGACCCTGATTTGGTACAGCATAAAATGGTTCCCTCCCAAATACCAGCCCTTCAATGACAGGCAAACTAATTCCTGGGGAGGTCAACTGAATCTCTTCATTCCTAAAACTCAAGAGAAAGATTCTACGTGAGGGGGCCCCACCGAGTAGAAACAAAATCATGCTTCCCTTTAAAACCAGATAATCTTTCCTCATCTCCTTCTAATCCCTTGGTCCCCAGGGCCTGTGGAACTCCAGCTCACCCTCTGGAAGAGGACACCATGATGCAAACCCTTACCTTGGGCATCCCATCTATTTCACCTGGACCTGCAATGAGAATGAAGGCAGTTAAACCCCAGCCCTTAAGTCAGGGGTCTTCAAACTTGGCCCTTTTGACTTGTGGACTTCAACTCCCAGAATTCCTCAGCCAGCGTGCCTGGCTGAGGAATTCTGGGAGTTGAAGTCCACAAGTCATAAAAGGGCCAAGTTTGAAGACTCCTGCCTTAGGTGGTGTCTATCAGGTTGGAAGACTTCTGTGGGAAGAGCAGATTTGTTGGCAGCCAAAGTCTTAGGAGCGTCCACTTAATCCACAGAAATTCTTATCAATAAAAACTTTTTGCCAATGGACTTTATAGAGGTATAGAATATCAGCTCCCATCACTATCAGTTTTTAAGGAAGTCTTATAAAACCTATTTCTTTCCTCAAGCCTCCTCTGAATGGGATGTTAATGTTCAGTTCTTGATTCTAGAGCTATATGGTCCTTTTCACACAATCATTGTTTTACTTCCGCAAGCCTGATCATCTGCAATCATGCCATTTCACAGAGCTTTTAAAGCAGAGACCAAAACAACTAAACTCTATAAAAAGTCAGCCAGCCCCAGGACATCTTTGAATGAAGGAAGCTATTACTCCTGAATTCAGATAGCTAGCCCAACATATATCTAGCCCTATCTAGAATAGTTACGTTCTTATATAAGTTTCAACTAGAATCCAAACTGTGCACATTCATTTAGCACCATAGTTAGCTTTAAATGGTTGCTGAATGAATTATCATAAATTAAGTATCTGATTTCAAACTCAGGAACCTCAGTTACATAACATCCCTGCTTGATAACCAACAGATAAATGGGTATCTGTATACAGGGGTAGGCAACCTTGGCTCTTTTAGGACTCGTGGACTTCAACTCCCAGAATTTGGAACACCAATTCTCCAATACTGAAGCATGGAAGTTGTTCCTCATCTTTCTGTGCCAAAATTAAAGCTAGAGCATACTCAGAGTTAGCATTCTGGCATCTAATGGTCTGCAATTCTCCTTCAATCAGAACCTAGCTGATCTTGGCTGAACTCAAAAAGCTAAGCAAGCTTGGAGCTGGTCAAGACTTGGATAGGAGGCCATCAGGATATTTCACATCTGGAGGTTATATTGAGAAATTAAAAAAAAAAACATTTGGAGGAAGCCAATGACAAAGCATTTCTGAATGGACATCAGTAATGTATTTTATGAATGTGCCCTAAAATCATTGGAAATCACACTATACTGGACTTGACCTCTTTTAGCATACAAGGGGACACTAAGAATCCAATAGCAACAAGGACATGGAATAAGGGAGGAGAGTTATATAATATTCTCCCCTCCCCATCCTTTGAAATGATACACTTGGGCTTCCTTTCTCCACTAAAATGGTCATTTTGGATTTTATTGTCCATGGCCAGCCCTGTAGGCAAGTCCATACTTACCTAGTGATCCATTCATATGATGGGGTTCCATGGCACTCATTCCCGCCATTGGACCTTCTGGACTTGGCCCCATGGAGAACTAAACATTATGCACAGAGAGCGTGAAAAGAAGAGAAATACAGAAATAATTAGGAAGGGCAGATTCCAGGTGGAGAAGCAGGACAGCATTCCCTTTCATGTTTGTATTTATTTATTAAGAAAATGTATACGGCCGCCCAACTCACTCATGGTGAAATAAGAAATTTGTCATAGAATATCACCCAGCAACAGGGAGTGAGCAGGAAGAAGACACTTACTCCAGGCCGGCTTGGTGGAGGACCAACAGAGTTCATCATGTACATATTTTCACTAGAGTTGGTGGAGTCTGAAACAAGAAGCAGACATTACAAGAAAAAGTAACCAAGGTGGTCTCTTTTCACATGGTGAACATCTAGAAATCTCAAGAAAGCCCATCAGAGGACATGAAGTTGGGTGGTATTCAGAGATAGACTACTTCAGGTAAATGGAGGCTTCATCCCTAGGTTTTAAAGTCTGGCAGAGTGAGGTCAAAAGTCTATCTAGTCCAGAGCTCCATTACAAAATTTAGCCAGAGATGCCTCTTCAATTTACAATAAGCTAAACCATATTGTGAATTGGAGGAGGGCTTTAGCTTGATATGTAGCTTAATCTGTAAACTGGTTACAGTCCAGCATAACAACTAGCTCAATGTTTGGCATGGCTGACTGGGGAATTCTGAGAGTTGAAGTCCATACATTTTAAAGTCAGCAAGGTTGAGAAACACTGAGCTAGACTAAGATTAAGCAGACCCTAGTGCTCAAGGAAAAGAATGTGAAGTATCAGAAGGGCTGCAGGCATTCTTATACAACATCCTTGATTGTGCACTTTTATTTTTTACTGGGCTATGTGTGTCTTTAGATAGAAAGGGTCCAAGTGAGGGTAAAAAAAGGTTTTCCCCACCTCAGGAACTTCTCTGGAACTCTTTTTCAATGGCTAATGTTTCCACAACATGCTTAACCCAGAGTGACTACATTCACACAATATATTTGGTTTTTCCAAATCAGAAGTAAAAAATAACAGGAGGAAACCCATCAAACTTGGCAGTAAGCTCCCCGATCTCAATTGCTATACCTATTGTTTTTATTCTAAATCTCCAATTTTCATGTTGGCTGAGCCCTTGATTACATTTATCCAATGAGATAATCCAGTTTTCAAAATTAATTTAAAACAGCATTTTGGAAGATTTTCTTTTTCTTCATCCATCTTTCTTTCTTTCTTTCTTTCTTTCTTTCTTTCTTTCTTTCTTTCTTTCTTTCTTTCTTTCTTTCTTTCTTTCTTTCTTTCTTTCTTTCTTTCTTTCTTTTCTTTCTTTCTTTCTTTCTTTCCCTCCCCTCCCCTCCCCTCCCTTCTTATAAATAACTCAAGATGGCAAACATAGCTAATACACCTTCATCCTCCTATTTTCCTCACAACAACCCTGTAAGGTGGATTGGACTGAGACAGTGACTGGCCCAAAGTCATCCAGTCGGTTTTCATGGCTAAGGTGGGACTAGAAGTCGCAGGGTCTGGGTGTCTAGCCTGGTACCTTAACCATTAGACACTACGACAGCATGGGCAAACCATGGGGGCTACAAGTAGGCACTGGAGAATGCAGGTAGATGGGCTAGGCTAGGATCCTGGGTAGATAGGGGTTAATGTAGGCGAATGCACACTATGGTGCGTTGAGGAGGGATACTATGGGCAGGAAGGCAGGGGATGCTAGACAAATATCTGGAGTCTCATAATCCACAGTGGAGTTCCTCAGGAGAATAAGCAGTGGGACTTACTTACAAGGGAGACTTATGAGCAACCCTACCAGCTTTTCACTTGATTTTGCTTGTGGGAAGCTGGTAAAGAAGGTTGCAGATGGTGATCATGTGATTGTGGCTTACTACGACATTATAATGGCGCCTGGATCGTGATCACATGATTGTAGGAACACTATGATGACCTCAACCTTGGGGACTGGTCATAAGTTCCCATCATTCACAGCTGTTGCAATTCTGAACAGTCACTAAATAAGTGGTTGTAAATCAAGTACTACTTGTAATTGTCTTTTTTCCCTTTTTTGTTATTCTCTTTTTTCTCTCTCTGTTCTTATTAAATAAATAAAGCCCAAAAAAAGGGGGGTTGGCTAGCGACCGTAAGTATTGAAACTCAAAAATCTGAAAGACACCGGGGTAGGGAAGACTTTCTCAGACACTGTGATAGAAAAATGGGGCATTCAGAAATAATTTCCTTCCAAAATGGAATCCAGGATACTTACCAAGGATCCAGTCCCAGTAAGTCACCGGGATCAAAGGTTTTTTCTTCCAAGCTTTCGGGCTCATGCTGGTGCTCATCATCAGGGAACTTCTCTCTTTGATGATGATTTCCAGCATGAACCCAAAAGTTGGAAGAATAAAGCTTTGGTCCCGGTGACTTGATCGGATTGGATCCTCCAGCATTATCCTGGGACACGTATATTTACCTTCATTTGCAGCACACTTACCTCCAGGGCTTGGCATGAGAGGGGTGCCAGGGGGGCCTCCGCCTCCCTGTGAGGAGAGAGAGAGAGAAATAACATTCATGATCCCGGGCTTTGCCTTGTGGAGGAGTCATTCTCATCAACATTATCAACCGTGTCTCGCAACCAGGTTTATTAGATTCATCTGCCCTGTATCAGGACTTGGAATTCAATTTGCCTAGCAAGTCTACCCTACATCTTTTCACACCTCTTCAGCAACTTACCCCATAGCTCCCAGGAGAAGATGAGGAATAGGATACCTAAACGGGATAGAAAGGAGAGGGGGACAAAATCAGTGGCTGGTGAACAGAATATAGCAGGCATTGGCTGCGTTTGGTAGGCATCTTAACCTAGTTAACCCACTAAAACTCTTGACTGAACATAAATAACATGTTGCGTAAGTGCAGCCCCGAGGTTTTTCGCCTGCTTGGTGAAGTCTGTTGTGTGAATGCAGCCACTGTGAGTTTCTGAATTGTAGAGAAAGTTTTATTTTAAATAAAATAAAATAAAATAAAAATAAACCAGACATACCGAGTTTGTGTTTATATTTGGCCAGGATCCTCGAACACCCGGAGCTCTGCAGAGAAAAATGTACAAAGCTGACCTCTCAAACATTTGGAAGAGTTCCTGGGAAGGGATGATGCTGTTCCTGCTCCGCTGAAAGGACACTCTCTCTCCCTGACTCCCTCTGGCTACCCCTTCCCAAGAGAAACAATACAGACACTTACATGTTCATTGTGGGCATCCCAGGGCAAACCAGGGACCCTGGAGGAGGTCTTATGCCACCACCATAATTCTGGATGAAGAAAAAGCAGGAAGGGATTAGGGGAAGGGAGAGAAACCAACCACTGTTGATTCCCATCCCACTCACTCATCACCTCTAGCACCAATTTTACCCAACAGGATTCATCTATTTAGTACAGAGGTCACGATCTTTGTATTATTACCAGTACGGCTACCACTGATAAGAAACACCATGCCACTATTAAGGACAAAGCATTTTGTTCCTCTAGTTCAGGGGTAGGCAACCTTGGCTCTTTTATGACTCGTGGACTTCAAGTCCCAGAATTCCTGAGCCAGCATGGCTCAGCTTGGAAACTCTCCCTTTCCCCTCAGCATGGCTGGCTCAGGAATTCTGGGAGTTGAAGTCCACGAGTCATAAAAGAGCCAAGGTTGCCTACCCCTGCTCTAGTTCAAACAATAACTAGCTGTCACTATTAAAAAAAACCATAAAGGTAGTCCTCGATTTATGACCACAGTTGGGACCAGAATGCCCGTTACTAAGAAAGGTGGGTTGTTGAGTGAGTTGCATCTGATTTTTTGCTATGATTCTTTAAGCAAAACACTGCAGCTGTTAAGTGAATCTGGCTTCCCTTGTTGACTTTGCTTGTTGGAAGCCGGCTGGGAAGGTTGCAAATGGCGATCACATGACCCCTTTGTGGCAACTGTTGTACCTAAATGCCAGTTGCCAACTGCCTGAATTTTGATCACGTGACCATGGGGACGCTGCAATAGTTAGTGTGAGCACGGGTTGTAAGTCCTTTTCTTCAATGCTGTTGAGACTTTGAATGGTTGCTAAATGAATGAAGTCGAGGATTACCTGTATTTTGGTTACTGTGTCACGTGGATTTTTTTAAGAACTTGCTGTCATGTTTTCTTGATATTTTATACTTCTTAATCCACTGCCTTGAAGTCTATTCACTTATTGTAAGTTATTATGCCATTTTTAATGGAAAGCAGCATACCCATTTAATATAAATAAATAAATGGTGGATGACAGATGAGAAATATTTAATGCTAGTCTTATATATATATATATATATATATATATATATATAAAACAATAAATAGTTGATCACCAAGAGAATAAAGCATATAAAATTTAAAAATTTAAAATTTATTTACTAAACCACCAAGCTTTCGTCAAGAGCTCTTGACATCATCAGAGTATGTAAGCCATTGTTGGGAGTCGCCTATATGCAGCCGCCTTCCTGCGGGAGAATGAAGGAGTTTTGACTGAGGGAAGAGGAGAGATAGAGGGTGTGGGAAAGACGTTTCGACAGGAGGGTGAGGGGGGAGGGAAAGATCAGGCAGGTAGGGGGCGGCGGCCACTAGATAGGATGGGGGGTAGTGCGGACAGGAGGAAGGGGGAGGAGGTTATGAAAAGGGGGGAAGGAGAGCAACATCATCCCGTTTTAGGGGCGGTCACTCGTTCCCGCACGGCTGCCTTACGGACATGCCAAGCAACTTCGGTGGGGAGAGAGAGGGGGGAGGTTAAAGGCATGGGAGAGAAGGGGAAAGACCAAATGAAGGAAGAGGTACGGCTGCAGGATGAGGGGGGGAGCAGCGCAAGCAGCGTAAGGATGGGCGTGTGCCCCCGGCTAACCGATGGGGGAGAAGAAAGTGAGTTAATGCCGGCATCCGGAGATCGCGGTTACGCACCTGCCGGGCGGGGGAGGAGGGGTGATGACGTTAGTGTACGACGCTGCCCCACCCCCGGTAGAGCCGGAGGAGGCATTGACACGGGGTTGCAGGAAGGAAGGAGGAGAGAGGGTGAGTGGGGTGATGATGCAAGGATAGGAACAGCTCAGGTAGACCAGCTGAATGGAGTGAGAACGGGGTTGGAACGGCGATTGGCCAGTGGAGCGTTATGGTAGCATCCATGGGCCAGGTGCAAAGGTGGCTTGATTATAAGAAGCGCCCTCCCATTGACCTACATAGATCCCTGAAGATGCCGGCAGAGAGCCGGTGAAAGCTTGGATCATTATTTATTAAAACTTTTTTAAAGGTTTTTACTTTTCCTGGTGCTCATTGTTGTTTGTATGTTTTTATCATATATATATGATATATGTATGTTTGTATGTTTTTATCATATATACCGTATATACTCGAGTATAAGTCGACCCAAATATAAGCCGAGGGACCTATTTTTCCTCAAAGAACTGGGAAAAAATGGTGACTCGCGTATAAGCCGAGGGGGCATTTTTCAGCACACACATTTTTCCGACCGGGCGGGTGGGCGAGAGAGGCGGGCAGAAAAAAAAGGGGGGGGGGAAATCCACACACGATCGCGCAGGGAAAGGGGGAAACGGGTGGGCCGGCCGGCTCCCCTCTCCTCTTTGTGTGTGTGTGTGTTTGTCTCTCTCTCTCTCTCTCTCTCTCAATTCTCCCCCACCCCAAAAGCGGGGAGGGGGCGACCTTGCAAAAGGGAGGGGGCTTCTCCCGGTTGCGGAGAAGGCTGGAGGTGCGCCTTTCTCGGCCAGCCCGGGTAAATTCGGCCGTATTCTTCAATACGGGCCGGCCCCAGCAGTTCCGGCTGGTTGCCGGCAGTTGGCTGTTCCTCCCTGGCCGCCTCGGCCTCCCTAGCCCTGTCAGTGAGCGCCCGGCAGGGCGCAGCGTCGCCAGGCCTTCCCCCTTCGCGCGAGGCGTCTGGCGTTCCCCCTCGCGCTTGGCTGCGGCGGCCCGGGGTATTCCATCCCGGCCTCGACACGCAGCGCCGCAGGGAATGGAAGGGAAGGGGGGAGGGCCGTACCTGGAGCATCACAGGCCGGGGCGATGCCGGGAACGAGCTGGGCGGCGGCAGGAACGAGCCGGGCGGCGGCGGCGGCGGCAGGAACATGCTGGGCGGCGGCGGCGGCAATGAGCTCGGCGGCGGCGGC